AGAATGGTAGCATTTGGGGCCTACTTTGCATTTACTTTGCACTGGTGTAAATTTTATTAAAGTTAATGTTTAAAATTAAATATACACAAGTTAAGAGGGAAGGTACTGTACGTCTGGGGTCAGGCTTGAGTTACGAGGGGTTACAGGTTACAAGGATCACGACATACATGATCAGTATCAGTATAGCGAATAAGTACATGGGTGGTGTGCGTCCCTTGGTTCGTCAGGGAAGGAAGTGGGTTATTTCCCTGGTCGGTGGTCTCGATTACTCAACCTGGTATTGACGGTGTCCCGTGATGTGTTCCGTATAGCTGTCTCTGGACCACCCGATGGTGTCGGACACCATGAGTTGTCTCATGAGCTGGGCGTAGAGTCGACCAACTCCGCACGCTCTCAGTATCGGCTTGTTGTGGGGGTCCCACGAGCCCAGGGCTCCCACGATCAGGGCATGCAAACACTGAATTGCAATCAGAGTCCTCTGCTAAGGTAGGAGAAGCTGAATCTTCCCTCCTCTGGGACAGACCCCTGAAGACAGGGAGCAGTGATCAGGTGAAGAGAGAAGTTCCAGCCTGTCCCAATGAAGGGACTGCATGCACAGTTCAGCAGACAGCTCTTGTGCAGGTGGCCTCTGCTTCTAATACCTTTTACAAAACTTGGCTATTGCCTGGACCTCATGTGAGCATGTACCTTGGTCCCCAAATTGCCTTAATCTGACTCTGCAGGTCCAGCTAGGATTTACAGACAACTCCCTCCTTCAAGATGGGCACAGATCCCTGCACAGATACAAAAATGTGGATTCACATCCGCCAGAATCAATGTGCATCCAACCCAGAATCTGCTAGCTGTCTTTTATGTGTATGCACACCCACACTGCACCTGCAGCAGCAACCCGTCTCACAAGTCTAAAGCGGGGGGGAAGTAAGGGGTGAGATAAGCGAGCAGGGGGGCGGAGTCTTGTAGGGAAGAGGTGGCGCAAGGCCAGGGTCTGGGGATAAGGGGCAGCGCGGGGGGCGGTTTCTTGAGGAGAAGGGGTGGTGCAGGGGTGGGGTCTGGAAGAGAAGGGGCAGCGTAGGGGTGGGGACTGGCCTGGGGGGAAGCAGAGTCGCATCGCGTGCTGCTTCCGGGGGCTCACGAGTGACAGTAGCAGCAGTGCATGTTGCATCACAGCGGGATGGAGGGGTGTGGCGTCAGGGCCCCATCCACCTCTATCGCTGGGGGTGGCGCCACTGCCCAGGAACCAGCAGGCCGGGCCATGGTGGGGATGCTAGTGCTGCCTGAGGGGCCCGAGCTGCTGGACAGGAAGTGGCGAAGCGAATGGGAGCTGGATAGCCCCGACTCCAGCCTACCACCCAGCCCCAGCCACTGGCTGCTGGCCGCCGGCCCCAAGCACGCTGTGCCCCCCAGGCTGCTCAAGCCGGATGCTGTGGGCCAGGTGCAACGGGTGAGTAGAGCCCTGCACCATTGTATCCACATCCGATCCACTATCCACAAAAATGGTCCACGGATATCCGCATCCACACGGACGTGGACATCTGTGGATATGAAGTGGATATCCGTGGATTTGCAAGGCTCCACTTATGGAGACAACCTCCTCCCAGTATGGTTAGAACTTATATAGACACTCCCATCCCCTCTAGGACTCAGTCTTGTGTGGACATCCCATCCCTACTATGAATTTACACACACACACACACACACACACACACACAATGCAGACAACCCTTCCAACTGTGGCCAGGATTAATGCAGACACACACAGAGTTAGGACCTATGTAGATGTGCCCTTCCACGCTACAGCCAAATATAGGCAGACACAATCTCCCTACTATGGCCAGGACCTTTGGATTTGTTACAGAAGGTAGTTTTAGCTCTTCTGTATACAGTACCTATTCTGCAGATTCAGTACCAGATTTTCAAGAACTGGCACCAAGTACATTAGTAAATATGATGGATTCCAAGTTCCCTTTGTCTGCCAAATGAGGGGGGTCCCTAGTTTTGCCACATACAACTTCTCCCCCCAACTTCCTCCTTATAGCGTGGCAGCCCAACTATTGCAAGGTACTCAAAATCCCAGAGCAACTCAGTCTTGTGCTATTTGTC